ATCTGCTGTTCGGCTAGGGAAACGGACAACTTGCTGCGAAGAATCGTAAAAGGCTTCAATGGTAAAGCCCTGTTCTAAATTGACCCCTCAAAAGCCTCAGTATGGTCGGGGATGGGTGTCTAGGGTTGCGGCTATTTCCACTCCGTGGCACCTCGCAAAATGCTCCCATACGACAAAGTGTCTCGAATAGCCTCTACTGTGGAAGCCCTACTCACTGCCTTCTCGTGGCGGGGGTATTTTCCACCAAAGTGAGAGGACGAGTAGCCGATATCCGGGGCTATAACCAGGTTGGTGGACCACCGGTAGTTCACCAAGGGGAGCTGGTCAAAAACCCTGATTCCAAACCCACCATGAGAAGGCGTGCGAACCACGCACACACTTTCCTGGTTGCGACAATGGTCACCGGCTCGACTGGACATGGAGGTCTATTGGACGTTTGCCCCGTCCAAAAGGTGTGTGATCCGATGAAATGGACACCAGCCCCCAATGGATTGCGGTCTCCGCACACTACCTCACCGCCATGCGGGTCAGGCTTCGGCTAGCCACAGGATATGGTTGTGGATTCCTCAAGAGAATTCATCTGTCTTGGTTTGGGCAACCTGGCAATATTCAGCGTATACGCAAATCATGAAACGTTTTTCTTTTTTCATAAAGATTGTTGTGCCATGATTTGTTTCGTACATAGTCTGGATTTAGACGTGTGTGAAAATATAAATATCAAATATGGTAAATGGACCCATTCGAATAAGTGTAAGATGAAAACAAATATTGATCACGAGAAGCAACATGTGAAATCAAAATAACGTGGGTGAGGATGGGGGGTGGTCACCCTGAAGTTTTCGACAAATCTACCTTTTCTGCGGTTGTACTGTAGCACTGGAAGCACCAATTGGGATGTTGGGTCTTGAAATGAGTCAAACCATTCAGGTTTTGGTCATAATGCCGAGGACAAACAATGTGGGACAGGGAAACCTCAACAGATCCAGCAGGAGTGCACAAATCACCGGTGTGAAAAGCTGCCGGGCATCTGGAATTGAGCGCATAGAAATGGAATGGTAGGATTATAGGGTAAGCAGGTTCATGGGACGAAGCTATTGAGTCAATGAAACAAAAAAGTTTATAAGAAAAATACAAGAAGCTAAGGGCCACTAGAATGGCGTCGTTGAAAAACGCTGAATTGGAATCTTCGGACAAATCGTGAAGTCGCCGACAAGAGCGCATATAATCCAAACCATATATATACAGTCAATCTCCGGCTACGTCGCACCCCTCGGGAATTTGAAAAAGTGGATAAATTCCAGGAACTGCCACATATCAGGGAAAACAGTAGATGCTAATAAGTAGTATAGAAATCGGTTGACAGTTTTGTGACAAATTAACCCAGATCGATAAAAAGTAGGTTAATCCCGTTAGTTGTCCCCAATATATATAACTATATACTGTTTATTTATAACGGAATTTAGATCTGCAGTCCTGCGCATCATTTATATAACGAAAAAAATTAAATCTTTTATGACACCCTCGGCTTAATATCGGTACATTGCATGCGGTATTCAGCCGGTTTTCATTTGTGTGTCTAGTAATTCCTAATCTACCTGCCTACCTTCAGGGGAACGTTTTCTGACCCAATTATCCCATATTTTTTCTAGAAATTCCTCCATTCCGTTGCAATGTTAGGCTAACCACAGAATCGATTATATGACGTCCACTATATTATACAACTGTTTTAGCTATAATAATCACAGCATTGTTAACCTATTCAAAGAAAACAAAGATGAACCAGTTTGAGTACAGTGAGAAGGAAATAACATCTAAAATGAGTGAAATATCTATTACAGGGTATACTCAGAGCATTGACTTCTTTCCCATATACAAACTGATTGTTTACTGTGCTATCTATTCATGATTTTCTAGTGAAACATATGTACTATTAGCGTCTGTAGACGTTTATTCGTTCGTTCGCTTTTGTTTTTACCAGTGTATGTTCAAACCGATTGATGCATTCATCATAACCGTTGTTGGTCAGACTGAGTTCAGCACCAGATGTGATAACGTGATTCATAAACCATATCTTTTTCAATTTAAGATGACCGAATATCAATTAAAGATGTCATATTGCTACGTGGATAGAACGATTGTCCGATTACCCCATCGTTTCACATTGTCTTGTACTTCTTGTGGTGACCTTGTTGTCATATGCAGTCCATCCGTGTGGTGAAGGCACGTCTGCTGTACAACCGAAGTTCACTGGGTCGCTAAAGGCTCGCGGTTGTAGACAAGCTGTGGTTTCTCTCTAGGGTTAGGCGGGCAAGCGCCACGTCTCTTGTTGCGGTGACCTATCTAACCGATCGATAAAATGAACCCGAACGGTCGTGTGATTTTCGAGCCGGCAAAGGAGGAGGATAAGTTCTGAATCGTATACTGCTCAAGTGTTGGTCGAGAATCAGCAGCGGAACGATGCGTCATTGGGAAACTCGGAATAAGTTCAAGCGATGATGACATTGGTCCAACGTTTGACTCTAAGATTCAAGCACTATTTTTGAAGCGAGTTCGCGCGCAAATTTTCCGGCAGGCGTGAGACGGAAGTTTACTTGGAAGAAATTCACTCCTGTTTAGCCAACCGAAGGTCATAGACACTAGCCTACAGAAAGCACGGTAACTCCGAAACAATAACCGATTCATAAACTAAAAGTGTATCTCGCAAACTGCCCTTAAACCCGGGTTACGATGACCTTTGGCACGTGACGTGTCTAATTTCATCGGTGCTCTAGGCCAAGGGAGAGTATTGTGCATTCATTCACACAGGCACGTCCGCGCAACGGTGATTATCGATCGCTCGGATCTGACATCTCACTCCACTTACCCGGTTGCCAGTCAATCGCGATTATCGTTCACTCGTTTGCACGTTAGTGCGACAGAGCCCATCGATAGACCAAATGACTGAGTTTGGTGACCACCGTAGCAAAATGCATGGCCATGTCCACCTCGGCTTTCATGATAAGTTGGTCATCTTCAATCAAAGATAAAACATATTCCAGTAACTGTTTCCAAAACAAACTTTTGAAAGACCAAATGACGCCCTGATCCATTGGTTGTAACATTGAAGAACAGTTCGAAAGCAACCGTACCAATTTGACGTTGGAGAATACTGCTGATTGGGGTGTTGTCCATAAATAGTAAAGTAGAGCGTCTTTGAGAAACCATTCTACGGTTGACATCGGATAGCTTACTGCGCAATAATGTAGAAGTGAGCCATGCGTTCTTTGAAGAATTATAACTGCATGGAAGGCTTTTTCTATCTATACCTCGGAGGTATTGTGGAATTTAGAACTTTCCAATCACCAACGGTGATAACTTTTCTTCAATCATGCTCTCACAAAGCAGTAACGTGACCTTCTCTTTGAATTTGACTCAGAAACTCCTTCATTTCAGGTTTAATGTTCTTTCTGAGAGCTGCCTCTAAAGCGGTTTCATCTGAAGAAATCACAGTCGGCATATCCATGTATCAACTGCGGTAACCCCGGTCGAAACTCGTCTACTGCATCACGTGGTGCCGCTAAACTCTCCCCACAGACCTATAAAGTAATGCATATGAGTTATTTGTTTCTTACTTTGTTCTATTGAATACCATATCTGTCTGACCAAGCGCGAAACCAACCTTCGGAAACCTTCAATTCATTATGGTGCAATCTTTGTGCTAGCTGGACTGCCTTCTTACGTACGATGCTCTTCATCATTGGGAAGTATCCGTGCTTTTCCTCATAGCAATAAACCAAGCCGAATTTGCCTCATTCACTGCCTTCAACTTTTCGTTGGTTTTCAGTTGGCATCTTTCGTCAGATGCTCCAGTGTTCGAAAATTCTCCGACAGTCGTACGATGGGATACAGCACTGCAGACAGAGTTCATGAAATTCCAAGTGTTTTGGCAACGGAGTTTTGAGTTTCACCTGACTGGTTCAGCATTTCGAATACATTCTGCTTCTCTCTGATCGATAGACGCTTGCACATTTTGACGGCAAATGATACTGTTTCCAATCACTCACATCGGTGTGGCTTCCTCGCAAAGATTATCNAACATCGATCAACGATCAAGTGAGTACGTATCAGGATCTGCGACATATTGGGGGGTGCGACGTTGCATAGTCAGAAACTACGTTATTACGCACACGGTTGGTTTGGGTTTTGGAAAATGTGGAAATATATAGGAAAACGCGACTTCTCAGGGGTGCGACATAGTAGGAGATTGACTCTCTCTCTCTCTCTCTCTATATATATATAT